CCCTTCGGAATATCTTCGGGGTATAGTGTGAATAATTTTGAATGCGTCGAATTTGTTCACAGAATGCCCACTATCGACGAGATGACCGAGAGCCGAGTTGCGAATAGATCTAACTGTTTCTTTGTAGAGTGCCGCCGGCCAGCGCTCAGTAACACGTTTTGATAATCACCTGATCGTATGTCCAATGCATCACACACTAAAAGTGCATGTGAAAAGATATAGAACGAAAGATTTGGACTGAAGAGGCAACTTATTTTTAATTTGCTGGGACACCAAGGGCCGAGTGGTAGTGAGGATATGCGGTTGAGTCGCAGGGTACGTTCTAGAGATCACTTTTGACAAGCGGATTAAGGGATAAAAAGGCAGCTCTTAACCACGGTCGAGGCGATTGCAATTCGAATTTTCAATCCAGAATTATGTAAGCAAAAAAAGCTGGTCCAGACACTGTTGTTGCCCTGGCCTGGACAGCGGATTGATTGTGCATAAAACAGAGCATCAACCCCACCTCCCGTCCCCGTTCCTCTTTCTTCGCCTACAGTGTCACCATTCCCAACCTTAAGAACTAATTATCTTGTTTTGTCTCTAATGTCCCTTCCTGATTACGTCACTTGCTATGCACGACCTATAATTTCTACCGTATGTTACGTAACTTCATCGCGCCCTCTCTCTGGTCTTAGCTCAACAACATTTTCTATGGGACTATTTCCGATCACACGTATACAATTCTCTAATCCGTGTCCGCAAATTAGTGTTCAATGCAGTGTTTTAGTGCACTTTCGTGCGCCGGTTTTGGTTGCTGTCTTTTGGCTGCCCATTTGAATAAAAGAACCCAAGATTGGAATGTTGAGATCAAAGTCGAACAGAATATAGAGATTTCCTATAGACTTCGGTTGCCAGAATAATGAGTAAATGCACCAGTGCCGCTGTTCGCGACACTCAACCATATCACTCAATTTCTAACAACCGATGACCATGCTCTCGGGGTCCCATCCATGGAGCCTAACGGGACCCACGTGGCCCAGTCTTCTAGTTGGGGTTTTCATACACTCGTGCCAGGTCTTCGTTTGACCTCCCTTGATCTTTTTCCACTCACTGCTTGCCTCGGCAAACTTCGTGCGCCATGACAATTTACTTAGTAACATGCGTAACACATGACCCAAGCAACGCAATCTATGGAGGAATAATGCAGAATGAATGCTTCGCAACCGTATAGAAAGCCAAAGCCAAATTTGTACGTACGTAAAGTCGTCAATTCTCCTCTAGATAGCTGCTGCTCGTCGCTTTCCAAACCAGATCACCTCAATGTTTTTGCTCTTTATCCTTCCATCCCATCAACTGAGAAATTCATTCGATTCTGATCCCCGTTAATACCGATGTCCCCGAAGGTTTGTTTCTTTTCCCCATCCACTTCCCATATCACCGTCACTCACATTTGATTATCCCCATACGCTTCTCAATTCGGACTAGCAAACGAACACTTTGAGTCAGTTTTCATGACACAATGAACTGTC